CCGGGTGGTTGTGGCATACATCTTTAATCCCAGCATTTGGGAGGCAGAGGCAGGCAGATCTCTCTGAGTTGAGGCCAGCCTGATTTACAGAATGAGTTCCAGGACAGCCAGGCTACACAGAGAAATCCTGTGCTTTCCTCCTTTTCAAGAAAACAGCTCTTTTTATTTTTTTATTTCCCTTCAGGGATAAAGTTTAATGGCAATTTCCAGCTCAGTCCCACACTTTTGTCTTCTTTAATGATAATGATAACAGCAACAGCTATCCCCTTCACAAACAGAAAAATCTCTACTGCAAACATTTAAAAACCGGTATCTGCACTCAGGAGGCAGAGGCAGGTGGATCTCTGAGTTTGGAGCCAACCCGGTCTATAGAGGAAGTTCCAGGGCAGCCAGGGCTACACAGAAAAACCCTATCTAAGTGTATTATGTTGTAGTATTAGGAATATGTATATTTTGTGCCTAAACTCAGCCACCTTTTAATTTGTGTAGCCTCATCTAGCTGGCATTACTTTTATTTCAGTGTGCTATGATAGTGGATGGCCTGTTCTATTCAGGGGAACAACAGCTCTCCAACCTCTCCAAACACTGACTCTAACCATTCATTCTACCTCAGACAAACTAAATCCAAATCTTAAGGTGAAGTAATGGGCACTTTTGTTGTTTAGAAATCTTTCCTTAATCATTCTACAGTTCAAGATCTGCTTGCCACTGTCTCCTGGATTAAAAGTGTGTTTGTATTCCAGCCTGATCATACACAGACCTTGAAGGTCTTTGGATGTACTCTTTTGCCAGAGCAGCCATATTCTGAATTAAAATTCCTCTACAGAGAAAGGTCAAGAGGTCACTCCATACTTGGCTACATAGGCCAGCTCAAAGCCAGCCTGGTCTACCTGACTCAAAAAACCAAAACCAGACAAAAATTAAGAGGCCATACATTTTAAATGATGGTCAGGCCAGGGAGGTTCTGCCCCTGCCTCCTGAATCATGGCATTCCAGGGGTGTACGACACACTCAGTTTATGTGGTACTAGAAATCAAACACTCTAACTCAAACAACTGTTTGTCACTCCAGTCCCAGGGGATCCATCACCCACTTCTGGCCTCGACACTAGGCACACACGCAGTGTATAGATGTGCATGTAGGCAAAACACCTACAACAAAAATTTTTTTTAGAAATAGCATGACTACAAACACCTTCACACTGAGGGCCGCCACAAAAATAATGCTTCAATTAAAGCATCATGAAAGGTTAGGTGTGCATGCACTGAATCCCAGCATTGGGGAGGCAGAGCAAAGGATGGCAGATCTCTGTGAATTCAAACCCAGCCTGATCTGCATGGTGAGTTCTAGGCCCAGAAGGGGTGCATAATGAGATCCTGTCTCGAAAATAAACAAATTAAAAGGGCTCCATGAAAGCTGGGCTCGGTGACACTCTCTGTAATCCAGCACTCCAGCAGACACCGTGAGTTTGAGGCCAGCCTGGTCTACAAAGTTCATCCTGGACAAGCAAATGCTACACTGAGAAACCCTATCTCAAAACAAACAAAAAAACAAAAGTACCATGAAACGCAAACACTGAACAATCACTCCAGATTGGGGGACCTAGAAAGTAATGGCAACATTAAAGAGGCTTCAGGCAGGAGGGTTCATGTTTGAAGCCAGCCTGAGCTCCTCACTATCTCAAGAAGGGGGAAAAAAATCAACACAGAGCAGCCAACTATATGAGTTAAGTTACTATGCTAAGGAAACAATACAATCTGCCTGTCAAGAAATCTCCCCTGTAGCGCTAGCAGGCAGCTTTTAATGTCACATAAGAGCAGTGCTAAAGGAATGTTAAGCCGGTCCGGAAAAAAAGTATAATCTTGATGTGGAAACTAGGTCTCCAAAGGTGTCTTGGAAAAGTTAGAGCCATTTTAACAGGGTGAGAGTTTAAAATTAGAGCTTGATTCTGGACAAAATGGGGGCAGTATGGGCAGAGAAAATAAACCGACACAACATTTCCTGGAAACCAAAACAACACTTTCTGACCTTCCAAAACCAACTCGGTAGTATTACCATGTCAACTGGAAAGTCAACTCTGCCCGGTGAAGGGCTGTACTGACATTCTATTGCTTTCCATGGCATTCCAACCCCTCCCTCCTTAGAAGGGCAAGGTACTCTTCCCGTAGGAGACGTAGGAGACGGCTGTTGGCACCTGTCTCATTGGTCAACGAATCACTCCAGGGTGCTGCCAGAATGCTAAGGCAAAGGCTTGCGACGGGGAGGGTATGCAGGAACCCACACGCTGCCCAAGTCCAGGAAGCGTTGGCGGCTCTGCCAGGCTTCGGACAGGAATAGTTACCCGGCGTGAGAAAAGCGGGGACGCACTGCCACCGCGCCCACCAGGCCCTGACCAGGGGACGACCAGGCAGCCCAGCGGACGGCCACGCGGGGACCCCGAAGGCGTCGCTGGGAGAGGCGCCCGCGGGATGATGCGCCTCAGGACTAGGTCCGAGCACGGCGGCAGCGGCAGCAGGGGAATCGCGGCTTCGGAGGCAGCTGCGGGCAGGGCCCCAGAGGGCCCGGCGTCACTCACCACTGCAGCTGGTGAAGTAGAACACCATGATCCTGGCAGAAGTGTGGCGACCCTTGCTCAAATCGCGAAGCTCGGGAAACCACGGACGCGAGGGTGAGCCGGCTTCCAGGCTCTCCTCCGGACACTTCCGGCGGACGTGGGGTCGCGTCACAACGCCGGCCTGTCGGCGCCATCTTTAGTCCTGGCGAAGGGAAGGATCTTGGCGGGAGAGCAGGTGACCCGGTGACTTTGAGGATTGCGCCCAAGCGACTGGTTGAAGGAAATTAGCGGGAAACTACATCTTGTTTGAAGCCATAAAGGAGAAATGCTGTAGGCAGACCTTATGTTCAGAGCCTTTACTAAGCGGGCATGAGAGTTGTTCCTTGCTCCTTATCTGTCTTCCCCCTCCACCGAATAATAGACTCCTTGAATACAGAAGCTGCCTTTATCATAGATGAAAGTCCCTCTCCCACTACTTGAGGTTTTTGTTGTTGCTTTTTGTTTTGTTTTTTTCCTTTGTTGGCTTGACCAAACTGGTCAGAATAAGAGCTGGGTGATTTTCTATTAAACTCTGTTTAAACCTGAGATGGCCTCAGCAAGAATACAAGGTGGAGGAACCTCTGCACTGTCTTGCCCTGCCACAATTAAGTTGTTGGGCATAGAAGGTACTCAAATGAATTGTTATTGTTACTTCCCAGAGGCAGAATGCTGATTGGGGTTTGGACTAAATCTAATGTCTGCCCTTTATTACCTACAAGAGTAACCAAATCCCAAACTTTTGAACTTCAGAACCTCTTGCTATGAATTTGTAAAATGCTCCCATGCCGCCTAGGTTTGACTTGATAATATTTTCTTATTGCTAGTAAACATTCCATTTCGGACTGAATCCCTCCAACAAGTTAGACCACACAAAATGCTACAAAAACTGAAGTTTTAAAATCCTTACAGAGCCTTAGTTTTCCCCCAAACAGGAAATTCCAGTCAAGTAGAACCTTCATGATAACGAAGTCTCTTGGCTTTAACTCATTCAAAAAAGAAACTAGTCATAGTCTCTTATTAACCAGTTTTCCCTGTTGTTCTGGTTGTTTTACTTTACAAAACCACTATTATTCTGGGTCTCATAGTATTGGTCAGTATTGTGGAGTATTCACCAGAGAAGACTGCTCAGACGCAGGGTTAAACTAATAGAAAGTCTTTATTTGCTGGCTTGCTACAACACTAGGTGTTTGAGATCCCAGTGTGAGCTTTTAAGCACAAAAGCCGTGTTCTGGGTTGACGTACTTCAGTTAGCAAAAACAGCCAGAAGTGGAACTACAGAAGCCAAAAAGCAAGATTAGTGCATTTAGAGACTTTCCCAGAACTATGGACTTGGATGGATTAGGTCTTTGTTTTCCTTTGGCTGGTGGTGCTGTCTACATGCTGAGGTTTAGAGCCTGAATGGTACTTCTGTCATGGAGTCGGTTGTATTAAGGTCTGGGCCTTATTACAGTCAGGATTCTAGAACTCAGGAAACAGAGGCTGATTTTAAGTTGTAGCCAAGTTTGGGGTAGTGAGGCCTCAGTTTCAAAGACATCTCCCTCAAGAAAACATACTGTTCTACCGTTGCCCAATGGAAACTTTCACTCTATCTTCTAACAAAGAAACTGACCGACCCATCCACAAATCATGAGAAAAAAAAAGCCCAAACTATTAATAACTAAATTGTTACTCATTTGTTCTTTCATTCCAGTCAGCTTTGAAGAAGGGCACCACTTAATTAAACTTATTTAGAACTAAACGTGTCTGAGACTGCTAGATGCTGATAATTCCTTAGAAGCCTGTGGGTGCTTTTAGAGCATTTCTGCTTGCCACAGGACACATGATAAAAGCAGTGCTAGGTTGAGGTGTCCCAGGCCTTGCCCATAAATAGCAATTGTGTCCATGCCTTCATTTTATTTTTCTGTAAAGTAGGAATGGTAACACAAAGTTCATGGATTGTGATGAGGAACAAGTGAAATAAAATACGGAAAGCACCAAGCTGGAGATACTGAACTCAGCTTTTAAGAACATACAACTCTTGCTGAGGACCTGAGTTCAATTCCCAGCACCCACATTCAGTGGCCTACAAATGTCTAAAACTTAATCGAGGAAATCCAACTCTTCTGGCCTCTGCTGGTCCTTGCATTCACGTGCACATACCCACTCGCAGACATGCACATAATCAAAAACAATAAAATCTTTAAAAAATAGAAATGAAAAGTAAAGTATCTAACACCTAAAATTTATAATGAAATGGAAACCTAAAATATCGTTGACTTTAAAAAAAAAAATCATGAAAAAGAAGAGCCTTCAGTATCTTGGCGCTAATCACTTTATGTCAGCTGCTTACACCAAACAGACTACCTCAGATGGACTTCCGAGTCCTCTAATCCACAAACTACAATTCCCAGAAGGCACTTACACAGGCCGGCAGCCCGGAGCTAGAAGCTGCTGCAGGATTTCAGGAGACGAGGCTTCCCTGCACCGCTTCGCCCCTCAAGAGCGGGAGAATCTCGGCGACCACCTCCCCCTGAGGGCGGGGCCGGGACTGGGGAGGAGCCAATCACGGCGCAGGCCCTGGGCGGTGCTGCGCAGCGGCGAATCGGAGCGCAGCGGCGCTGGTCTCCAGTAGCGCGCGTGAATTTGAACGCCCTGGCCGAGCGCCGGGCTCCCGTGAGGAGAGTCGTGGGCTTCCTGAGGTGCGGAGAGCTCTCTGCGGGGTTCCCCGGCCCGGGCGGACGCCGAGCCAGAGGGAGACTGAGGAACGCGGGTAACGTCACGGGGCAAGGGGCCTCGGGTGTGGGCACGCTCTGCCTGCGCCCCCACGCGGGGCTCGGGCTCCGGGTGGCAGCTTCCCGGATCCCCGCGGCGTGTGGTTAGCTTGGAGGCTGTGGAGTTCTGTGGGACTGACACACCGAGCCGAGGGGAGGGGAAGGGAAGGAGAGAATATTCGAGAGATCATCTCCCTCCGGGCAGAGGCTTATCTCCGCAGCAGCCCGACGAGGGTCGGGTCGTTTAGGAATAAGGAAGCTCCCGCGAGGGACCTGGGGAGAGGCCGGTCCTTCCTACACTACCTCGCTCAGATTCCTAGGAAGGGGCCGCACGGGCTCTGCTTCGCCGAGCGCTCAGCTAGTCTGAGAGCGCTATGGATGTGGAGGAGGCATGAGGTGTGAGGGAAGCCGGGGAGGCGAGCATCCATCGCTGGGCAGGGTGGAAGGAGGACCGGTGCCAAGGAGGGCACCAGGAGTGCTGAAACTTCACGTGATTAGCTTAATTAGAGGGAAGTGCAGCCCTAATTAGGGACCCTCTGCCCTCGTTAGTAGGCTCACCTTTCCGCGGGAAATGCGCAGGTGAGGCGTATGTTTTCCCGCTCCCATCCACTGTACTGCAGCCCAGCCCACCCTCCTTCCCTTCCTTCCTCTAGCACTGTTTAAGTCTCTGTTAAAATTATTTACTGCTTTACTTCTCTTTTTGAAACCTCTGTGGCCCAGGCTGGCCTCAAACTAAGGAGACCTTTGCCTGAGCCTCCCATTGGCACCCTCACACCGGCCTGGTTTGGTTTTGGTTGCTGTTTGTTTTTTTAAAATCTGTTTCTTGGCTTAGCCTGTGATCCCAGCCTTGGAAAGCTCAAAAGTTCAAGTTCGTCCTTGGCCGCAGGGTGAGTGAGTTTGGCTTTGAGACTAACCTCAGCTATGTGAGGCTCTATCTCAAAACAGTTTTTCCCTTGGGTATTTTTTTCAATTTTTTTCAGATTTTTAAATTACCATTTTGACATAGTGCATTTTCTATCCACTTGATGACTTTGACTATAATGCTGACCTTTTGATTGCTTTTAGGATTTTAGTTAAAATGATGGCAGCTTTTACTCCAAGGAAGAGGAAACAACATACTCTGAGTGCTGATGATGATGATAGGTAGGTCTTAACCTATACATGAACTCTGTAAGAAAGAAAAATCCAGTCTTGTCAGCGATACAAAAGGCCTCAAGAAGACAGTTTATTGAAGAAAATTTATTATCATAGGGTATTTTAATGGCTAACTGGAAAAAAAATACATGGAGAATAATTTGTATGTTTTTTTTTTAAGTTATTTGGTACATGTGGTTATTTTATATGCATGTATGTCTGTACCACATGTATGCAGGGCCCGTAGATGGACTGAAGTTATAGACTGTGGGCCATCACGTGCAGGGACTCAGACCTGGGTACTCTGAAAGAGCAGCTAGTGCTTTGTTTTTTTCGAGACAGGGTTTCTCTGTGTAACCTTGGCTATCCTGGACTTGATTTGTAGACCAGACTGGCCTCAGAACTCAGAGATCTGAGTGCCTCTGCCTCCCAGAATGCTGGGATTACAGGCATTTGCCATCAAGCCCTGGCTGCAGCCAGCGCTTTTTAACAGCTGGGCCATACCTCCAAAACACCATCCCTTTGGCTTTTTGGTTTTATTTTGTTTTTAATAGTTTTTCTAGACAGAGTTTCTCTGTAGCCTTGGCTGTCCTGGGATCAGGACAAACTTCCCACCTCTGTCTCCCAACTGTGGAGATTAAAGCCATGCACCATCACCCTCAGCTATTTGAAACAATCTTAACTGAATACCAAGTTGGCCTCAAAGTAATTGAGATCTTCCTGCCTTTGTCACCTGTGCTTTGGGATTAAAGGTCAGTGCTACCATGCTCAGACCTAATGGAGAATAATTTTTATATAGCCCAGATAAAGAAATAGATTGTGAAATACACATACATGTATATCAAAGTTTCACTGTAAAGACTGTTTGCTTTTATGAATATTATCTTTTTTTTTTTTTTCTTTGAGACGGGCTTTCTATGTAGTCTTGGCTGTCCTGAAACTCCATATGTAGATCAGGCTAGCCTCCAAGTCACAGAGATCTGCCTGCCTCTGCCTCCTGAGTGCAGGGGGGAGAGGGGGTGTTAAAGGTGTGTGCCATCATGCCCAGCTTAGGAATGTTGTCTTTGGAAATGGAAATGTATTTAAGGGCTGGAGAGATGGGTCAGAGGTTAACACTGCTTGCTCTTCCTAACGGTCCTGGGTTCAATTCCCAGCAACCACATGGTGGCTTATAAGCATCTTTACTGAGATCTGGTGCCTCTTCTGGCATGCAGGCAGAACACTGTAAATAATAAATAAATCTTTTAAAATAAAGATAGAGGGGTGTGAGTGATGGTTCAGTGGTTAAGAGCACCAACTGCTCTTCCAGAGGACCCAGGTTCAAATCCCAGCACCCACATGGTGGTTCACAGCTGTCTATAACTCCAAGATCTAACACTCTCACATAGACATACATGCAGGCAAACACCAATGCACATTAAAAAAAAAAGAAAATAAATAAATTTAAAAAAATAAATAAAGATAGAATTTGAGGATTCTGTTAAACAGATAATGTGAATATGTCAAACAATGGAGAAGACTTTTTTTTGTATGACTAGTACAGAGAAGTTTACTAGTGGATGTAAATAAATTATGAAGAAAAACATGAACTTACCAATGAACTTTGTTTCATTTCTTTTTGTAGCCTATTAACAGATGTTTCATCCAGCAAATTAAGTTTAAGAACTACTGAGAATCTCTTTCCATCACCTAATAAACGTACTTGTCAAAGCAGTGATCAGAAGGAAGAAAAGTCTTGCTCCTACCAATGCCATTTCACTTCAAGTCCATGCAAAACAACTGAAAATAGGTTGACATTTACAAACCACGGCTCACTATTTAAATCTTTATCTGCTGTATCTTTCTACAATAAAGATAAGCACTACCTCAATCCACTCCAGAGGAAGTTGGTAAGAGAGTATAGATCTATTTGTGTAGCAACTAAAAATGGGGATAAGCCTTTTCCCAGTGTGACAGAAAAAATTCAGAAAAAAACGCTTCGCACCAAGAAGAACAAAAAACCACAGAAGAGTTTAACTGCTAAATATCAACCAAATTATAAGCACATCAATACTATGTCAAGAAATGCCAAAAATGCCAAGCCAAATCAAGTGAGCTATAAGCCAGTTGTGGATAAAGAGAACAGTTGTTTTCCAAATACTCCTCGAGTCCTAAGCCAGAAAATAAAACCACAAGTTACACTCCAGGGTGGAGCAGCATTTTTTGTTAGAAAAAGAAACACTCTTAAAAAATCAACTCTGGAAGAAAAACCGTTACCAGAGGTGACTGAAGATGCTGCTCCAGAGGCAGAGCAAGTACCAAAGGCCATGTTAGTGGAAGAGAAATGGAATGTTGAGCTATTGGATGCAAGAAGTAAAAATGAAGAGAAACTAAGAAAGGTAAGTTAAATGTATCATCTAAAAACAGCTGGTGGTTTAATAAAGCTTAGATATAAATGATGTGTGCCTAATTATGTAGATCATATTAAGTAAATAAAATTTTATTTTCGTTATAGTTTGGAGGACTGCCTTTATAAAACCAGAAAGTAAAAACAGGTAGAAAAAAGTGAGACCTCTTTTAACCTTAGTATTTTCTGGAATGTGTGGAATTTCCTACTTTGCTTTGGTAGCTCTCTGCTACTGTTAAAAAGTAGGAACTGAGCCAGGTGCTGGTGCACACCTTTAATCCCAGTGGAGGCTGAGGCAGGCAGATCTCTGAGTTCAAGGCCAGCCTGATCTACAGAGTGAGTCCCAGGACAGCCGGAGCTACACAGAGAAGCCCTGTCTCGAAACCCTCCCCCCCAAAAAAGGAACTGTTAATAGACAAGACTCCCTCCAATGACCCCAGGATGTGGTTTCTGTTTACAGTGTTTATGTTTGCATGCATCTGCATGCATACACATGGAGGTAAGAGGTCAATGGCAAGTGTTTCTCAGGTGCTACCTACCTTGAGACTTTTTTTGAGACAGGGCTTCTTTATCGGCCCAGGATCCACCTATGCTGCCTGTGTATACTCCCTAGCCCAGAGATCATAAGCACCATCAGATGCTGGGATCCAACTCAGATTCTCATACCACACAGCAAGAACTTTACCAACCTACCTACTTGTCTCTCAAGCCCTGGTTATTGTTTTTTATAGTCCATGATGGTAATTATCCCTTTTTAGTTTAAGAGAAACTGTATCGTTTTCTATTTTTCACTAACTTAAAGTTAATTTCATAATAATGAAAAGAAAGGTCTAGAATTTTCATTACGCCATCTTCATCTGGAAGTATACTTAAAAGATTTCATTATTACTTTTAGTGTGTATGAGAGCTCTGGATAGATATGTGTGTGTGTGAGTATGGTGCTCTCAGGACAGAAGGTAACTCTATTCCCTGCAACTGGAGCTACAGGCAATTGAACCACTCTGTGGGTGCTGAGAACCAAACCTGGTTGGAAGAACAGCCAGAGCTCTAAGCCGCTGTGCCATCTCTCCAACCCTTGAAGCACCCATTTTTATAAGTATTGCAGTCTCTATGTCTGTCTGTTCGCTGACATTTAAAAGATGATCCATATTCAATGAATGCAGAGGAAGTTTCCAAAAAAAAAAAAGATTGAAAATTGAATTGTGTATAAAGTATTACACATGATAAATCTGCTGAGAAAACAACTAAGAATTAGACATTTTCTTTTTCTTTTTTAACCTGTTCATTATTTTCAGAATTCCTCAGGTGCAGTAATTTCTTCAAAGGAATCTAAACTTGATAATCATAATTTTCCTTCAGAGAATTCACTCGGTGAGAGCAAAACAAGTAAGAAAATTTGCATTACTTAATCCCGCAACTTGTAACAATACTTCATTGTTCATACCAATATGAAACCATATATATATATATACACTAATATTTTCTGTGCCTTTTTGAAAATTACTGTGCTTACCATTAACATCTCTTGTTTTGTTTTGTTTTGTTTTGTTTTGTTTTGTTTTTCAAGAGAGGGATTTATGTAGCCCTGGCTATCCTGGACTCACTTTGTAGACCAGGCTGGCCTTAAGTGCACAGAGATCCGCCTGCCTCTGCTTCCCTGAGTGTTAGCATTATAGGCATGCACCACGGTGCCTAGCTAATATCTCTAGGGAACTGTTATCTATAGTAAAGCAATACCATATTTTGAAAAGCAGGAAAGGAGCTTTTAGATTAACACATCAAATGAAGAAAAATAATTATCTTTAAGTAAGCTCTGGTTATTTCTAAATTTCCTAAGTTCTCTTTATTGTCATTATTATTATTATTATTATTATTGTATGTGGGATTGTTGGTGCACTTATGGCATGGTGCATGTGTGGAGGTCAGAGGGCACCTTTCTGGAGTGACTTATCTGTTTTCCACCTTGTTTGGTCAGGGTCTCTTGTTTCTGTTTTTCATATTCCCACTAACTGACCTTTGGGCTTCTTTGATTTTCCTCTCTACTCCATTTTACCTTAGGAGTACTGGGATTACAGACACCAAACCCTGCATCTGTGTTTTTGTTTTGTTTTTGATTACATGGGTTGAACTTGAGATCAGGCCTCCACCTCAGATGATTTATCTGAGCATTTTACCAGTCCTATTTACATTATTATCTGTATTTCCTTTGCTCCAGCCCAGAATCAGTGATTTCTCCACCGAACCTTGAGTCCTTCTATTGGAGAATGGTATTTAGAAATCAGGATCTGGGCTCTGAGTATGATTGTTACTAGAGTGATGTTGCTTCCAGGTCCTCTCTCCAGACAGGACTGAAGAGCACAGACATTTGTTTCTGTGTGTCTTCCTCTTCTTGTTTTAGCATGAGTTCCTATTCCATGAGTCTCTAATCCAGGGTTACGAGATCTATTCTATACTTTTTTTTTTTCTCTTATGAGTCAGTGTTTCTTTTGTGTAGACCAGGCTGGCCTGAACTCATAGAGATCTACCTGCCTTTCCCCCACCCTCCAGTGCTGGGATTAAAGGCATGCACCACTACTGCATAATTTGCATTTTGATTGGTGATTCATTTTGAATGGTGCCCAATTGCTCTAGCACCATTTGTCAAAGACTACCATTGCTTTATTTGTGAGATTCAATTTCTGGTCTCTTTTGTTCCATACACCTACCTGTCTCTTTTTGGCATTGGTTTAATTATGGTTGACTCTTGAAGTAATGTAAATGTTTTGTTCTTCTTAATCTTCAGTCTTAGGAGGCAAAGCTTAGATTTTATTTGGTAATGCAACCTATTGCTGCTTTTCCCCCTAACAGTTTCTCCTGAGTCTGTCTATCCCATCTTCAGTGTTTCTTCAGTGAATACAAAAAGGTAGGAATTATTTTTGCTTTAATGTCCTGATTTTAGTAATTATATAGGTTTCTTTTACTCTCTTATAAGGCTTTTTTTTTCTTTATCACTAAGGTGAAAGAAGAATAATATTGAGAGTAGGAGACAAGAGTTTTTTCATTGAGGTGGAATAGATCTTCCATGGACTTGAGTGATAATTGTTACATTATTACATAGTAGCTGGCCTGTAGTGATTAGTTTATTATTTTACTTAACTATCGTCAGGACAATCTAGAAGGTAAATGCTATTATATTAGTATTGAATCCTCTCAGCTGAGGAAACAGTAATTTAGCCACTATTGCTCGGCTAGTAGGGTGCTCAGTGCCACAGCTAGGAATACAATCCACATTTGAATCAAAAGCCCATTGGGTTATAGTGCCTTCCTTAGATGACAATATATTAACAGTAACATTTATAATCGACTAGATGTTAGTTTTACAAATGGAAAAAATTATAGTCAGAGAAATAAATAATAGTTTAATGTTATAAGTCATAGCTGAAGCTAAGTAGTGTGATAGGGGAGGTGATAAGGGTAAGTAGAGAACATGATGAGTAGAAGGTATAAGTTTTGTATTGTCGGAACATCTTTCTAAAAACATTAATTTTTTTTTTTCTCACCCATTCGGTGTTGAATGACTAGGTATTTAGCAAAGAAATTTTGTCCTACTCTTCTCTTTCTCCTCCCTCCCTTTTCCTTTCCTCTCTCTCTTTTACTCACTCTCCCCGTCTGTGCCTGTGTCCGTACCTGCGTGTGCACACGTGTACACATTTATGTGGGCATTTGTGCACATACATACACATTCCCGTGGAAGCCAGAGGTCAACCTTGGGTGGCATTCCTAAGTTGCTGCTCAACTTATTTTCTGAGACCAGGTTTCTAACTGTCATGTCTAGTCCTACAGAAGAAAGTTCTTTGGCTACAAGTCAAATCTGGATTTGAGTATTGACACTGAATTTACTCATTATGTTCTTCTGAGTGATTATTTCTGGGTGAACCTTCTCTTTTCTAGATCACCACCTGAAGAGCAGTCTTCTGTGGAATCTACTGCATGTACTAACTTATTGAAACAGACAAATGTACAGAAAAATATTAATTCCAGAGATACAAATAAAGGAGGAAAGGACCAATTCATCATTGTGAGTAAATTTAAAACAAAGGTCTCTCTGCATGTAGAACAGGCAGCCTTTCAGCATGGTTATCTTTGGTTGTGGATTTCCAAATTTGTAATTGCCAGTTTTGTTGTAGTAACCTTCAAAGTTAGCCAGTACTTTGGGGCTCATAGTTTTGGGAAGTGCTAGTATGTGAGTAGAATGCTATGAATGGCTTATTCCAGGTAAGAAAAGTATTGATCAACAAAAGATGCAATGGAAATTGCAATGTTGAATTAGAATTAAGTTTAGCAAAGTCTGGCCATGGGCTGGATCCAGATTCTATAATAATCTCTAAGCTGAAAAATGTAGTTAACATTTTTAAGTGTTTTTGTTTGTTTTTGGTTCTAGGAATTGAGCCTAATAGTCTCATTCATAGATAAGTAAGACTCTGCCACTAAGCTACACAGCACCTCCAAGGCTTTTTATTTTTAAATTGCTTAAGCTGGCCTTGAACTTGTAATCCTCCTCAGCCTCTGGGGTAGCTGTAATTGTAAGCCTGTGCCTCCAGGACAGGCTTTCAGAAAATTTTAAAGCAAAGAAAGGAATATATGACTATATTAGCTACTTTTCTGTTGCTTTGATAAAATACAATGATTTAAAGAAGAAAGAGTTGATTTGGGTTTCTAGTTCTGGGGGTGGGGGGGAGAATATAATAGGCAGCCAGAGTGGGAAGCTGGCTGGTCCCAGTTCAGCCTCACACAGGAAGTGGAGACAACATCAAGAAGTCTTATTAGTTTGAAAGCCTGTCTTGCAGTGATAGACTTCCTAGGGAAGCTATACCTCCTAAAGGTTCCAAAACCTCCCCAAACAGGATGACCACACATGGCCTGAAAGCCTAAAGAATTTACTTCTATTTTTTCACAGAAAAACTGCCAATCCCTGTCTTAAATAATCCAGAATCTAAGTATTTTCTTTCTTCTTTTTGTTTGTTTGTTTGGTTGGTTTGTTTGGGTTGGGTTTGTTTTTTCTAGACAGGGTTTTTCTGTGTAGCCTTAGCAGTCCTGGAATTGCTTTGTAAACCAGGCTGCCTCTACCTCCTTGAGTGCTAGGATTAAAGGGGTGCACAACCAGCAGACTTTTTTTCCAATGAAATTAAAATGATGTTTTATGAGAATGGAGTTGGTAGAGCCTTATCAACTCTTGAGGCAAAGATTTTTACTATTGAAGGATAAAGAATTTAACACTCCAAACAACTTAAAGACAAAAAAAAAAACACTGATTAATACAGAAGTTCCAAAATGTTTTCCCTTCTCTTTGAAATGAGGCAATGTTTATGATTTTGTTTGGCTGTCTGCTTGTTCTTCAATTTAGGATGCAGGTCAGAAACATTTTGGGACAACTCTGTGTAAGTCTTGTGGCATGATCTATACTGCTTCCAACCCTGAAGACGAAGTGCATCATCTCCAGCATCACCATAGATTTCTGGAGGGAATTAAGTATGTGGTGAGTTGAGAAGTCTCTCAGTTTGTTCAAAAGGTAAAACTGTATGAAAGGACGCATTTTGTGCATTAATTGTTGGTATATCCATAATTATTTCATTGCTTCCAGAAGAGGCTAGCTGGGCACGTTAGCTCCCACCTGTGGTCCCATCATTTGGGAAAAGGTTGAGGTATGAGGATCATTGTGAGTTGATATTGATATTTGGTCTTGGGTACATAGTGAGTTTCAGGTCAGTCTGTCAGTTTGAGCTGCAAGAGTGAACCATGCCTTAAAAATACAAACATATCAGGCTATTGACTTAAAGAGTCAGGGTGCTTCCTGCACCAGATATGGCTACATAGGAGCCACAGGCCAGCGAGAAGGATTTCTGGGCTCTGCTAGGTGTCTGCATATTCAGTGAGAACCCTGTTTCAAGGAATAAGGCCGAGAATGATAGAGCAGGACACACAATGTCCTCTTCTGGCTGGCACATACAGACACAATCCTGGGAAACATAAGTACTTGAGGTTGATGCTATTAAAAAGTTAGCTATTTTGTTTTGTTGTTGTCGTCCTTCAGTGCTAGGCATCAAACCCAGGTCCTTACATATAGGCAAACATGACTGGAGTTATACCTAAGCCTAAAGTTTAGGTTGTTACATAATGCTGTTTCAGATTTAGCAATCCAGTGTACAACATTAAATCCCTGCACTCTGCAGAAGATTGGGATTAGAGTGGCAAAACGATGACCATGTACTCTTCAGGTACAGGGACGAAAATAACAGGATATTGCCAGTGCACACCTGTCACATATGTACATGCATAGACGGTTCACTGGCAGAAACCATGAAAGTAGAGAACTTAGCACAATTAGTAGGCTCTTCGGGACTACATCCTGTAAGGTTCTCCACATTTAGAGGGATATGGACAGAAACGCTAAATGAATATATGAATGAGAGTTTCTGCGTTTCTTTGTGTTGTGTTGAGCTAACTAATTGCTTCTCTCTCTACTGTGACAAAGAGGGAAGGGTTTATTCTGGAGTATAGTTGAACTGAATCATCCCACTATGGTGAAGACACAACTTAAGGCATGGTGTCAGGAATAGGAGGCCAGCTGGTCACACTGTGCAGTGAGTGGACAGAAAATGGAACCCAGCTGTAAAACCTCAATGCCTAGTCCCTTCCCCCAGTAGTCCACTTCTTCCAGTGGTGGTCCATTTTCTGAAGATTGCACAACCTTCTCCAACAGCACTATCAGCAGGGGAACAAGTATTTAAATACAGTAACCTGTGGGAGACATTTCACATTCAAACATGATAATAGGGTCAGACCTATGCTGAGTTACTGAAAGGAGAAAGCATTTGTTCCTCAGTATTACCTGGGTTTATCTTCTCTCTCTCTCTTTCTCTGTCTGTCTCTGGGTTTATCTTCCCTCCGTCTCCCTCTGTCTGTCTATCTTTAGTTTATTTGTATCTTCTTTTTATAATCTTTCACGTCTTGTAACTCGGCTTATTGCCCAGTCTCAGATAATTTAGCAGTTCTTATTCAGATCCAGTGCAGGCTACAGCTGCTTTGAGTTCAGAATCAGAGTTGCTGTGTCATAAGCAGAAGATGGCATTTTCTGGCTCTTTCTCTTTTCTCTTCTGCGATGTTCTCTGGGCTTTAGAGGGAATGGTATACATGTCCTGTTAGGACCGAACACTTGTACCTTGTTTGCAGCGCCTTAAATAGCCATGGGTATTCTGCATAGTCACTGCAGAGAGAATTGCTGCAACTCTTTAATGCAGTTCCTCATGTTGTGGTGACCTCCTCCCCCAGGCATAAGATTATTTTTGTTGCTGCTTCAAAACTGGTTTTGCTACTGCTATGTATTTGAATGTAAATATCTGATATTTCTGATGGTCTTGGGTGACCCCTATGAAAAGGATCTTGACCTACAGGTTGAGAACTGCTGGTCTATACAAGGAAGGAGTGGTCAAGCCTGAACCTCCATTTTGCCTTTCTTGACATCTTTAAACCAAAGTATTTTGTGTACTTTGTTTATAAATGAATAATTTTTCCTCTTTCCTGGCTTTGGCAGGGCTGGAAAAGAGAACGGGTAGTAGCAGAGTTTTGGGATGGGAAGATCGTGTTGGTCCTGCCACAAGATCCAAGTTATGCCATCAAAAAGGTATGAGATTGTTTTTCTCCTCTCCTCACTTAAGAAAACCACCATACTGAACTGCTTTCCTGGTGTGCCAACAGCCTTCTTGTTGCATAAGCTAAGCCTTTATAGTGGCTTTTACAGAGTCCCAGTAAGATGTGTTCTCTGTTGGTGTTGCTTCTGTTTCCTGAGTTGAATGTTGCCAACAGGAATAATAAATAAGGCTAAAATAAATCTGCTTCATACTCTCATTCTTCCTCTCCACTAGGATTCTGAATGTCTGTTAAAGGCATTCTTCAAAGTATGTTGTTAGGCCCTTTTCCCTAAGTACCAGGTGTGTGTATGAATTTTGATATAAGTCTGATAATATATAAATTTAGGAAATAGACATAAAAGAAGCTAAATGCTGGTGATCATGTTTTGTCAGGATATACACATACTTAATTTTTATTGTGATTTTTTTTTAAACAAATTTACTTTATGGTTTTATCACTTTAGGTAGAAGATGTCCAAGAACTTGTGGATCTGGAATTGGGCTTCCAGCAAGTTGTTCCCATGTATCCAAACAAAACCAAAACTTTCCTCTTTATTGATGAAAAGAGAGTAGTTGGATGTTTAATTGCGGAACCCATCAAACAGGTATGCTGTCTATGTAAGAATCTAGTCCTAAGTTATTATGTAGTAGCATAGTGGATGTATGAAAGGCAGAGTCTCCAGCTCTTTTAGGCCTGGAACTCAGAGATCCTCCTGCCTTCGCCTTGCAAATCTGGAATTAAATGTGTGTGCCACTATGCCCAACTAAAATCTACTTCAGACACTAATTAGTGGTGTTCTAGAAAACAGTTTTCCTGTTATTAAAAGTTAGAAAAGAGTAGCTTTTGTGTTTTATCAATTAAGAGCAGATATGCATTATCTTGTTGGTTATACCTTAATAGAGTTGATGCTGGGAGAGAATGCCAACAGACAACTTTTACTGACAGCAAAAGTACCAAAGGAGCAGTAGAGCATTTGGATAGCATGCACAGGGTTCTAGATTTTATCCCAGTACTGTGTATGCATGTATACATACTTGAAAATTGTCGAATGACATCTTTGATTTCCTCATGGGAAATAAGTATGGTGATAAAAATGTTAACTGCCTTGATTTATAATGTCACCATAGATTAAAACAGTAGGTTATACAGTTTGAGAGAAATTCTCTGCAAATTGATCAGGTTGACCTTGAAGTTGTGGTCTTCCTCCTCAGTCTTCTGTACTGGGGCTGGCTTAACTATACTGGACATACCTTATACATACATGCATATATACATTCAAGCATATAAACATGTAGAGGCCTCCAGAACTTAACTCTGTCTAAATAAACATTGACAAACCACTACTACCTTCCCTCACAGTTTTCTTTTTAGCTCCTACCATTTTACTCTGCTTCTATGTGTTCAACTTTTAGATTCTGCATTTGTTAGATTATGCAAGATCTGCCATTCTGTGATGACTGATTGTACTTGTCATGTCCTTTGGATCTATCCATTTGCCCCAGGTGTCAAGATTTCATGTTATAGTTGAATAGAATTTCACCAGCGGCTATTTTATTTCTTTATTCATTGAGGAACACTCAAGTTGACTCTGTGCCCTGAGTTTTGTGTGTGATGCTGCAATGAATCTCCCACTTTTTATTATGGAGACATACCCTGAAGTGGGAGCACTGAGTCATGGTTTTTGTTGTTTGTTTTAATTTTGGTGTGTTTGTTTTGAGAGACTTCCACGGTTTCCACTACTTACTGTTAAGATTCCCACAGGCTGCATACATGGGTTCTTTGTTTCCTGTCTTTGCCCAGACTTTTTACTTTTACATATAACCAACCATTCTAACAGATGTGCTGTGATACTTTCTTATTCTCACCTGCATTTCCTTGATGATAGTAGTATTGAGCATTTCTTCAAACCTCTGTGGGCCATATGTAAGTCTTTTTCAAAAGGGGAAGTCAAGTCCTCATCTCACTTTATAAATTTTACTTTATTATTACTGTGTACATGATGTATGAAATTGGCATGTGTGTGGTTGCTTCTCTCCACTGAGATCTTGGGAGTAAACTCAGGTTGTCATTTTTGTACAGCAAGTGCTTTTCCTATTAAACCATCTTGCTGAATACTTTTGTTTGATTTTAAAATTTGTGTTACTTTCTTGTTATTGAATTGAGTTCCTTCTATATTTTTTACTTTAATTCCTTATGGTGTATACAGTTTGTAGATATTTTCTCCTAAGTGGTCTTTGTCCATGTTGTGTCCTTCCTTTCCTGTGCAGAAGCTTTCTACTTTAATGTCAACCCACGTTTCATGACCATTGATTATTCCAGTTCCAGAGGGTCCAGTACCCTTTTCTGACCTCTGCAGACATCGGGCACACAAGTGCACATACATACACACAGAAAGAACGCTTGTACATATAAATATAAGGAATAGCAGAATATTACCTTTTTTGGAGATTAACTATAAACAGGTTTTGTTTAAAGTTTGGATTTTTGTTTGCTTTTTAAAGTAAACTTGTCTGTGTTTTTAACTGTAGACACTGCTCTGTGTCATTGCAGGCATTTCGTGTCCTGTCAGAACCAAGTTCCACTAAAGAATGTTCTAGAGCTTGGCGGTGTTCAGATGTACCGGAACCTGCAATCTGTGGGATAAGTAGAATCTGGGTCTTCAGACTGAAAAGAAGAAAGCGCATTGCAAGGCGACTGGTTGACACTGTCAGGTAAGGAGACAGAACAGCTCTAGACCTTGCACCATGACTTGTTAGCATTCCCAGAACCTCCCTTGGCTGGCCTTGAACTAGTGATTCTGCAGCTTCATGTGCTAGAATTGCAAACACACACCACCATGCCTACTTTATTTTGGATTTAAGATATATTGTTTGTATGTATGTCTGTGTGAGTATAACCATGTGAGTGCAGCATCTTTGGAGTCCAGAAGAGGATATTAGATCTAGAGCTGGAGTTATAGGTAGCTGTGAGCCACCTGATATAGGTACTGGGAACCAAACTCTGGTCCTCTGCAAGACCAGTACTGTTTTTGTTACTTGTCTACTACTGTGGCAAAACAGTATTATCAAGGCAACTTCCTAAAGATTGGGGCTCACAGTTCCAGGGGGTTGGAGTCCATGACCATCAGTAGGCAGGCAGGCAGGAAGGCATGGTCCTAGAGCAGTGGCTGAGAGCTCACATCTTATCCATAGGCATGAGGCAGAGAAAACTAACTGGGAATAGCATGGGCTTTGAAATAGCAAAGCCAGTTCCTAATGACACACCTCCTTCATCCTTCCCAAATAGTTCTACCAACTAGGGACCGAGTATTCAAATATGTGAGCCTAAAAGGCTATTCTCTTGAAACTACCACAAGTACATATGTACTTCTAACCATGGAATCATCTCTTCAGTCCCCTGCTTTATTTGTTTTTCTGTTTTGTTATGTTTTGTTTCAAGACAGGGTTTCTCTGTGTAGCCTTGGTTGTCCTGGAGTCACTTTGTGGACTAGGCTGGCCTTGAACTCACAGAGATTTGCCTGCTTGCCTCTGCCTCCCCAAGTGCTAGGATTATAGGTATGTGTCACTGTGCCCAGCTTATTCATTTTCACCACTTATTTCAAATGCCTTTCCAGCAGTGTTTTGATTTTGTTTTGTTTTGTTTTTTCTTATGATGGTCACTTCATATAGTGGTTATGTCTTTTAGATCCGCAGTTCTCAACCTGTAGGTGGTGACCATTGGAAAGAACCTATTTCCAGTGGTCTTAGGAACTGAGACACTACTTCTCTAAAATTACAGTTATGAAGTAGCAATGAAAATAATTTTATGGCTAGGGTACACCACAACATGAGAAACTATATTAAAGGGTCACAGCATTAGGAAGGTTGAGACCCACCACAGTAGGTGTTCATTTTTTTTTCATGCTGTGTGACATCTATGTACCTCAGACTATCCTTGAACTAATTACGTTTCTGCCCAGCCTGCCAGGTGCTGGATCTAACAGTGTTTGGCACCATGTCCAGGCTTGTTAGACTCTCCATTTACCTGGGATGATTTCTTAGCCCTTCATTGTCTTCTACAGCATTGAAGAAGTGTTTTGCCTTTTTTATGGTTGTAACAGGGTGCTTGACATGGTTTAAAGCTGGAATGGTTTATTTTGACTCATGATTTCAAAGTGTCAGTAGTCCACTATTACAGGGAGGGCATTGATGAGCAGAACAACTTCCCTCATGGTGTCCAGGACCAAAAAAAAGGGAAATACAGGATGAAGCTGGGACAACATAAAGCATCTTCAGAACATGCCCAAGCAACCTATTCCCTCTTATGGGGCACCACCTCCCATGAACCCATCAAGGATAATTCGTTAATTTTTAGAGCTTCCTGATCTAATTGTGTATGCAGATGCATGTGGAAATCAGAAGACAACTTGAGGAAATTGGTTTTCTTTCTCCTTCTAGCCTGAGAACCTTTGAGTTTCTCATCCGAGATAATGCCAAGAGTCATCATCTCTAAATCCAAGGCACTCTGGTACCAAAAATAGTAGTTTTAATCAGTTACTTATATTGTTTAATATATGTTTAATTGAAATCCAAGATTTTAGTGATAAATGAGCTTTTCTTTTTTTTTTTTTTTTTTTTTGTAGGAATTGCTTCATGTTTGGCTGTTTTCTCAGCACTAATGAAATTGCATTTTCTGACCCAACACCAGATGGCAAATTATTTGCAACCAAGTACTGCAACACCCCTAATTTCCTTGTATATAATTTTCATAGCTTAAGCCAATTGCAATCATAAAACTAGTACTGTGTGGAAAACTTCAGCTAGATAGAAACTAATATCAGAATGAAAATTATAAGGTTTGTATACATGTACATTACCAGTTTTGTTTTTAATATATTTGAGAGATAAAATTTTTGAGAATTATTTGGGATTCAAAGAAAAAAAGATCTTTGGATTAACTCTGAATTCTTAATTCTGAAAACTTCGCAGCAAGATGGCTTCTGCAGAACCTGGGCCATGTAAGGAACACACAAATACAGTTTTAGACTATGATTGTCTTATGCTCCATCAGTAGAGGCAAATCTAAACATGGGCAGTGAGAGATAATTCCTGAATTCTTCTGTAGCGTTCTCTCTTTACAATCATGTTGTAAATGAGTACTGTATTAGCAGATTCCCTGCCAACAGTAGCAACAGCTAGTGAGCAATCAGTCAACAGTTAGTGTTACCATATTGATATTTGATGGTTTACTATGTACAAAATACCTAACCACCACACCCTAAAACTTATGACATCTCCAAATTTTGCTTTTGGAGGGGATCTTAAGAGCAGAAAGTGACTGAACAGTAAATCAGTACAGTGGACTTGAATTACATGCTAGTACTTGTTGTGACAAGTACATTGATAAGTGATATATGGAAACTAGGGTTTCTATAGAAACTTGGAATAAATCTCACTGAAAGTGCCAATTTTTATATTTAAGTTAGTTCATGCTTTATGGCCAGTACGCAAGACCTGTCATTTGAGCAAACCTACTAAAAATGACCTATCAGAGAAAGAGTGGGTAGAACTACTGAATCCCAGTGTATACACTTAATTTTTCCATAAATAAACTTTCAATTTGATGTCATTTTCCTGCTGTTTTGATGGACAATATGCTAATTAATGATCTGTTGCTTGGTATACTCAAAAAGAACCTCCAAGAAAATTCTAGAAGATAATGCTTCTTAATTACTTTTAAAATTCTATCTGTTGCCAAGTCTGAGTACACCACCTAGTTTCACCAGTGCAGATAATTATGGTTGTGGGGCTCTGCTAGATAAGGTTGAATGATGTTGGTCTATGGTGAAAGACTGCCTTTTCTCAAAAAAAAAAAAAAATCTCCCCTCATCTGGGTGACCCCCAGATGGGTCACATAGCTCTTAGGGCAGATTACAGGCTGGACCCTTCCCTAATAAGGAAACTCCTAGCAAGCATGTAGGAATTACTGGAAATGCCCCACCCCATAAGGATGATCTTCCAGCACTGACCTTCAATCGTACTTGGAGATCCCTCCCACCCCCATTGGATAATTAAGTGCCGTATTTCCCTTGTGATGGGCCCATTAAGGATCTCTGACACCTGAGCCCGGTGAATCAAACACATTTACAAACACAGAGGGAGGGAAATCCCTCCCTCTGCCCAGGGTTTATATTGCCCTTGATTTCATATGAATAAAGGTACGTGCTTCTCACTTCAAGACCACCTGAGACTCATCATTCATCCTCCACCAGGCAGGCCTTGTCTCACCTGGCCTGTGTCTTGGCTGCAAGCTGGCCAGGCATGGGCTAAAGCCTGCATGTGCAGTGTTTAGCACAGCAGCCTAACCAAGAAGTGTAACACTTTGGTATTGCCTTATGCTTTGGAACACCACCTGTGATCTCATTCTATAAGAGCTAAACTGTAACACTCCGGAAAACCTTTTCCACACCCCAGCTTAGCATACTCTGAAGTGCTCTAGCTGCCCCTGAGAGAAATGGGACCCCTCTTCTCCATCTCAGAAGCCAAGTTCTAGGACCCTAGTGGAACGGAGAATGATATCTGGTAATTGCAGGGAACTGTGACAAATAACTAATCCAATTTAACCTCACTTTATACATAAAACAAGGTTGAGAGAAAACACATTTACTCCACAAGTCCAATGGCAACACAGCAACAAGAAAAGATAATGCTGACATGCCTAGTACTGAAACTGCTCTTTATTGTTTGGTTAGTCTTACAACTTTAGAAGACTTAGGATACAGTCAGTAAAAAGTAAATATTAGCACAAAAATATATTCCATAAATTAGACAACTAAAATGTGGAGATGCAAGACAGCTGTAACCAGGGTCTGAAACACCATAGGAGCTACTCTTCTGAACCATACACATGCTTTTCGAGTTCTGGAGCAGATGGGCCAATAGGACACTGTGAGCAGCTGTACATTAACTTTGTACTGTTTATAGTGAAATTTAGTAAACCATTAAAGAAAAGAATGCCTAAAAAGATCTAAGTCACCTCAGACATGGCTCACTAGTGTTTTAAATCAGTAGGGGCAGTATCTAGGTACTTGGAGAGTTACCACAGACTATCCAGTATAATAAATGCTTACAATCTAAAAATGCAACATGTCAGAAAATTATGCAAATGTTAACTATATACAGTGGTCCCAAGATAAACCGCTTCCAGAGTCTAGCCACTATAGGTCATAATAACTAAATAAATGCATCTGAGCTAACAGTACCCATACACACTATGCCACAAAACAGCATCATTGGCCATCCAGTTCCAAAGCGTCAACAATGTGTGCAGCAGACGGGCGATCTTTAGGATCCTCATTAGTACACACAGAGAAGAGTTCAATGACCTTCTGGTAGGATTCATCCAATTCTTCCATGTTGATGGACGGCCTGGTCCCCAGAGCTGCATAGTACGCTTCATCATCAAAGTCACTCTCATCAAAGGTTGTATCTATACATGTAGGAGTTAGAGATGAAAACGCAAAATCATGTAGGTCACGGAATAGCTCAACAGCTTACCCTCAAGATAGGGTTATACATATGCATTCCCTATACCACAGGCCAACTCTCCACAGAGACTAGCTATTTTCTCTCCAGCAAAAAATTAAGGAAACTGTTCAACTAGATCACCCACCCAATGTAGATTGATTAAAGAAAATTGAGAGAACCCATTAGTGGAGGGGTTACAGAGAGGAATACCCCTATCTTCCTATTCTCAGTCTGTATCATTTGTATGTGATTAAATCTAACAGTACTACTATAGTCTTAAACAACTTGCTATTTAAATTTTAACTTAGTGGAAAGACAAGTATATGCACTAATCTGGAAAGAAACTCAGGTTTATCTTAAACCTATTTCTATTTATACCTTCATCATCATCTTCTTCATCTGGAAGATTGATGTGTGGAATACATAAAGTCATCATTTCCCACAGAGTAAGGCCAAAAGCAAATATATCTGACTTGTCAGTAATAATGCCATTTTCCTCCAACGCTTCCTTGGGTTTCCATGGCTCAGTACCAATATAACAGGCCTCAGGATCAGTCACTGAAACACACACACACACACACACACACACAAAAAAAAAATACAAGTAGAATAGTAATAGTAGAGTAAGTATTAAAGATCATGGAGAAAGGCAAGCAACCAACAAAACAGCACAAGCAAAACCCATTTGTATGGGGAGTTCAACCTCGATATAAAGGATCTGTCCTTATCAGACTGGCAAATATTAAAATCGCATCAGTTAATGGAAATGTAAGAAAACAATAGTTCAGCTGGGTAGTGGTGGCCCATTCCTTTAATCCCAGCACTTAGGAGGCAGAGGCAGGCAGATCTCTTGAGTTTAAGGCCAGCCTAGTCTGCAGAGCAAGTTCCAGGACAACCAGGAATACACCGAGGAACGTGTCAAAAAACAAAAACAGTTCTCTTAGAAGGTGACAGAAATATAATGAATATAGATAGATGTCAAAATTCCAGACTCAAGCCAGACTGCCTTGCTTGGCTTCTAAGACGTACATAATAAGCTGTGTGACACTGCCAACCACTTCATGTCTGGGCCTCGGGTTTTCTGCAAGCAATGAAGTCACAATGGCTGAGAGCCAAATGACATTTCAGTACTTTTATGATTACTAAGTCAGGAGAACCAGAAGGGATAATCACACCGGCCTGTTCTTCCTTTCCTGGCTGGCAAAGAAGTACAGCTAATGGTGGTGAGTTTGGTCTTTTTTAACATACTCACTAAACACTACTTTTTTTCCTGGGAAACTAGAGATTGTACATGTACCACTTAGTGAATCAACTCAAAACAGTCTCCAAATTTCCTTGGCTGTGACCCAATGACCCCAAATATTTATACATTTACTTTGCTAAATTTTAAAATACTCAAGGCTCTCCTAGATATTTTGTTAGTTGTCTCTAATTCCTCTTTCAAGTATTATACCAACGACATTCTCCTTCCTTAAAGGCAAAATTTCCTTTACATGTTTAAAAACTCTATTTCTGTAACTAAGATGAATCAAATTCACTGGACAGGGTTAAAGTACATTACACTACAAATGTAATTTTTCTGCATTTCCTTACTTTAATATCCATTCTTATACAAGGGTAGAATTGAAAACAAAATGCATACAACTCACTTCCAAACAATGGTAGAAAAACACGCACTTTGTTTAATCAAAAACGTTTATCTTCAGAATTCTACTTTAAGGCTCTCAATAAACTTACAAGGAGAGAAAGAAACATTTGAAGAGAAAGGGAAAGAAGTAATAGCCAATTCTTATTAGCATGACTGCATTAGAATATCCAGAAGCTGGGGAAGCACTAGTCTAGCGGGTGTTTCTTTCCCAAAGTTCTTCAGTTAAAATCCACGCTAGTCAGGGCCAAGGTGGGCACAGACTGAAGGCTGTAGGAGGCCTGTGAGCCTGAGGCCCTCCTACACTGACCTACTTCAAACAAATCAAAGTAAAACAAAAAAATACACAGACATACCAAGATGTCATAAGGAAGGAAGGAAAGGAGCTAGGCTCAGAGGAGGCAAAACACTAAAGATGCTTTGTATTATATGCTTATCAAAACAGCTCATTTAAAACCATGTAGCTTTATTATGTTTTAGAACACAAAAATTTTATGAATTTAACAGAGCTATTTACCAGTCATATTCTCATCCAATGGCAGAGAGACTCCTACATCACAGATTTTAATTGTTTCAAAATCACCTTTAATTACAACGTTTGAAGATTTTAAATCTCCATGAAGCAGCTTCTTTTCTTGATGCAGATACTAAAATTGTAAAAGCAAATAAATAAGCAGAAAATACTAATAAAAACTTTCAATAAAACAATGACTTGAATTCCCTTTGTAAATTAGACTTACTTTATCTATTTCAAGGTATTTGAAGCCAAGATGGAAACATGCCATGTCATCTAAAAATATTTTTAAAGATGTATGGATTCTCAAAGGCCATTTAATTTTCTATTCAGACGATTTCAAAACACTCCAATTTCATTTAAGGCCAATAGTTTTAGATTTAATTTTGGAATCTTCACAATAAGGCAAACTTGTGAAGTAATCAAATTGTGATGTAATACAAGAAAAACAGGTGACATGAGGCCACTATAATTCATGAGCAGAAGCAGAAATATAATCCAAAGCTATACCATGTTTTGAACATTAACTTCTTTTTGGGTTGCAAGCAATTATTGTCCCATTTGAACAGTGCTGCAAAATGGCTGTCTGTTCCTTTGTCAGCATTTGAGCAGTTGAAAATGAGAGGCCATTCTTCCTGGGATCTGCTCTTACACAAGAGTTTACTATACTTACTTCAAATGCACCCATGTGGTGAATAGGCCCCAACATGGTTACACTACAATTTATTAATTTCACTAAACATAAATACTTAAAGCCATTAGTAAATAATTCAGGTGTTTCTACCCTTTTTGTTTTTCAATACAGGTTTCTCTGTGTAGCCTTGGCTGTCCTGAAACTCAGTCTGAGACCAGGCTGGCCTCAAACTCAGAGATCTGCCTGCCTCTGACTCTAAAGTACTGGGATTAAAGGTGTCTGCCACCACTGCCTGGCAATATATACATTTCTTTTCTTTTATGTTCAGTCTATCCAAAAACATGGCAACATAGGTATAACATATTTAATTTCTTCATAGTTCACCAATGCTATCTAAATATAATGGCATAGTTACCTTTAGCCCTCTCGCCATGTGCAGAGCAACTCTGAGAATTACAGCTGCTGGAAAAGGACTTCCACTGTCTTTGTTCCGTTCTTCTATTAGGTCATTCAGAGACTTCTCACCTCCATATTCCATAGCAAGGCACAGACTACCATCACTGGCTTCAGTAAAAGCACGATACCCTTAAGAAAACATGACATTTTTCTATCAGACTCTGGAAACCAGTGCTTCTTCAGTAATGTAACTTGGACCTGGATTAACACAATAAGATAGCTATTATTTACAAAACTAACCCAGAGGTATAATTTAAATGCCTTCAAGTATGTGTCTAGCACCACAGATCAAAACAGTTTTACTCTGCTTTTATAAATAGAATGGTTCTACCAGCACCATTAATACCAAAAATGCAAAGTTAAAACAATGCACGAAACTACCTAAATGAACATAAATGATCTAAATGAAGACTATTCTATTCTACATTCCTGAAATCTTTACCATCACCAAAATGACTACTTCCAATTCAACTCCATGAAGGTACACAAACACTTAAAACCTCTGAAATATGTGAATTTTAAATCTTTTTTAAGATTTATTTACGTGCATGAGTTTTTTGCCTACATGTATATATGTGCACCACCTGTGTACCTGCTGCCAGTGGACGTGTAGACACTGGCCCCCGGTGGATGGTTGTAAGGCACCATGTGAGTGCCTAGAACTGAACTGAGTCCTGCAAAGGTGACAAGTGCCCTCACCTGCTGATCCATCTCTCCAGCCCCTTATGTGAGTTTTTACTCTAGACAACTCACATTAACTTGATTCTTTACAGCTTGTAGGTCCAACTTTATTTCTATTAGCAAAATCAGTTCAGAGTATATCTATACTACTCCTAGCTAGATATACAGAACCTTGTTCTACCACATACTGCCCCACATCAATTTAAACTTACCTATAATGTTTGGATGATTCAGATTTTTTAAAATCTTAGCTTCATCAGTTAGTCTCTTCTGATATACAGTTCGATAATGATCGGTACATAATGGATTTATCTTTTTCACGGCCCAAGGAGAGTGAGACAACCCTCTTGGAGACCTAAAATATATATATATATGTAAATTTGTAGGTACAAAATGAATAAAAACCACCAACACACTCAAACTTTCACTCCATAGAAGTATGTTTTTAAAAATATATAAAAATTATTTAGCTCATCAACACTTGTTACATTTCTGCTTTGACTAAATCAGTGTCTTGATGCCCTGAACAGTACCTGATATCTAAGCTCTGAGAAGGGAATAAAGGGCAAAGATCAGGACGGAATGTTTACAAATTTACAAAAGTAAAATTAAACTTTAAAGTTGCTACCCTATTGTCTAACATTTCTATCTTGGCATGTCAGTCTACTATTTTATTAACATTTACCTATACATATTATGGCATGCTATAATTAATATTAAAGAAACTTAAGAGAAATGCTCAAAACAGGCTCAAAATAGTATGCTATTCTTTTATTATTTGAAATTTCATACTACTATGTATTTTTATCAAATCGACTTTCTGTTCTTTCCCCTCCGATTTCTCTTCTATCCCACCCCTACTTTTCCCTCCTAACTTCATGTGCTCTTTATTTTTATGCCTATTGAGCGGACTCAGTTTCTGGGCGGAGGACCTCCTACTCCCATGAGTAGCCTCTTAGGGGCTGCATCCCTAAAAAGAACGGCTGGCTCTCTCTCCTCTATAGGCATTAACTGACAACAGTGCCCCATCCCTAAGCAAGCTCTTTCTCACCATTACCAGTTCAGCTCCACACAGCGCAGTTCTCCTACCCTGTTCACCATACTCAAAGCCATGTTCTAGTATCTTTCTACCATTTCACCTTCTTACAGAAGCCAGAAGGGAAAAAGGTTAAGCTACTTCTCTTTTAATAAGACACTAGGAGGAGTTTAGGAGTTAAGTATCTGGGGCAGAGCTCTAAGAACTGGAATGTAGCCTTCAGGAACTTATGCAATCCAAGCACAATGGACCTACAGTCCCACAAGCAGGAAATTTTTTTTTATTAATATTTTTTTATTTTAAAATAATTTTATACATTCACTTGTATCCCAGCTGTAGCCCACTCCCTCTTTCCCTCCCAATCCTCCCCTCCCTCATCTCCTCCCTGTCCCCTTCCAAGTTCACAGAGAGGGGGCGTCCTCTCCTTCCGTCTGGCCCTAGCTTATCAGGTATCTTCAGCATGGTTGCAATGTCTTTATCTGTGGCCTAGCAAGGCTGCTCTTCCCTGAGGGGGGAGGGGAAGCTCATGAGTTCATGTCAGAAACAGTTCCTGTCCCCCTTACTAGGGAACTCACTTGGATACTGAGCTACCATGGGCTATGTCTGAGCAGGGGTTGTAGGTTATATCCATGCATGGTCCTTGGTTGGATAAAAAGTCTCATAGAAGACCCCTGTGCTCAGATATATTTGGGACTTGTGGGGCTCCCTGTCTCCTCTAGGATATACTAATTCCTCCTTCTTTCATATGATTCCCTACACTATGCCAAAGGCTTGGTTATGGGTCTCAGCCTCTGCTTTGATACATAAGCAGGAAATCGTGCACTCACCTTTTCATTAGGTACACGTTGACCCCTGTCCCAAAGCCAAGTTTTTTCATAAATGGAGAGGCAGGGATATTTATACATGGAGTTGAACATAATACTAAAAATAAAAAACAAAAGCAAAAACAGCATTTGAAAAGAGCAGTACAAAAGCACCTTGACAGTCTTGGAGCCCTATTGTAATTTGTACAGAGTGTGTAGATACCCTTTGACAAGACTACTGTAACTCTCACAGTAACAATAATGAAAATGGCTTGTTTTTTATGGCATACAAAGCTAAGAATTTTAAATATCTATTCAATTATTACATGTATGTATACATGGTGTATAGGTGTGTCTCTGTGTATGTGCAGACGTGAATGCCATGTCACACAGGTGAACATGGTTTTATTTGGGTGGGTCACATTTGGGTCAACCTGTTCAGCCATCTCCCTGGCCCTTTTTACATTTTAAAAAGGCTGTTTAAAAATAAAGAGACACAGGCAGGTGGATATCTGAGTTGAGGCCAGCCTTGTCTACAGAGCAAGTTTCTGGACAGCCAGTACTACACAGAGAAATGCTCTTGGAAAAAAAAATTATTTTAAATAAAGAATATAGAGGTTGGTGGCTCAGTGGTCCAGAGTATTTGCTGCTCTACAAAGGGCTAGTGTCTGATTCCCAGCACACACATCAGACAGCTTATAACCATCTGTAACTCCAACTTCCAGAGAATCCAATGCCCTCTTCTGACCTCCAAGGGCACCCACATGTATGTGACACACACACACACAAATAAATAAAAATATATCTAAAAAAAAGATAGAAGAAAATCAAATAAGCAAGCATTTGAAAGTCCTACTGTGATCCTCAGAGTCTACCAGGAACATGAACTTTGTGACCCTGTGACACACTGACATCTACAAAGTTCGTGCTCAAAAATGCGCACTAGTTACAAAAAACAGAAAATTGGAAGAAAACCTTGTAATGTTTTAAGTACTGTGTGCTGAGTCACATTCACACATTCATAGCTATCCTGGGGTACATATGACCTGTGTGCTACAAGATGGACATGCCCGGAACTAAATACAGCCTGGCCTTTTACATAGTTTCTTGATCCCATGGCACATGTTCAAGGAGACCACACACACACACACACACACACACACACACACACACACACACACCTTGTACACATGTCTGAATACTAGAATTTGCTTTGGCAGCTACACAAACAAAAACAAAATAAATTTAAATATAATTCAGAACATTCTATAATTATTAAAAGATGAGACAGTTTTGTTTCAGGTCAGGAATAACTAACTGCTCTTGGAGCTGCTCTCTCTGTGAACTACAAACCCCTGTAGAATACAGTAGGTTTCAGGTATGTGACAAGAGGTAGAGCCTCTGAGCAAAGAGGAACAGAGTAAGCCCTGTCATTTCCCCATACCACCTAAAGACAGTCCTAGGCTTAAACACAGAGGAAAGAGCCCAACAGAGTTGTCAAAGCAGGAAACAGAGCAGAGGTCAAGGACAACCTGGAAGCTATGAGCAGAACACAGGAGAGAGCTAAAAGAAAGCAAGCTGAAAAAAATCCCATTGAGTGCATGGCCAAGTACTTAACTGCATACATAACAGGTAACATCTCCCAAGCTAGGAACTGCAGTAGGCTAAATAACTGAAAATGACAGGCTCTAGGCATAAGATAATGTTACCGCCAGTACTGTAGCAGACTGTGGAGGAAAGCCCTCTAAAAGGTAACAACTCAGTACTACAGCTAACTTGTAGCTCAAGCAAAGTCTGTGAGAAAGTTTAAAAGCCAGTCTCAAAAGAAGTAGTAGGCTTGCCCCTGTTCACCTCTATTAGCTTTGGAACATCATGAAACCACTCTGTAGAGTGACAAAATTCAGAACTCAGTGACATAAAATCTCTACCACCTAATCAAAAATTTCCAGCTATGAAAGAAGCAAAAAACATTGCTCATGCCAGAAGAAAAACAAACCAATTGAAACATACCACCAAATGGCGGGAGTGGCAGAACAAATCATAAAAACAGATACACATCTCAGAAAGATACTCACTGATGTGAAAGACAGTCTGGGCACACTGAGGAATACAGATGTTCTGAAAGGTCCTGGTGGGCAGGGTGTGGAAGCACAAACTGTAATCTCAGGAGGCAATAGATTGGGAACAATACTAACATGTCCACTAGCCGGTGTAATATGGTAGTTTGTTAAAGTAATAGAGAATGAAGTGGGAAAAATATTAATGTTTCTTAATCTGCATATGACCAACTGAAGATACCCTAAACAATCTTCGAGTCACTGCAGAGGTAAAGTGCTTGCTGTACAAGCCTGATGCATGATTCCTGAATCCCTCCTAGAAGGAAAGAACCAACTCCTCTATTATCCTCCAGTTCAAGCCAGAAGACCATCAGTAGGCAGAACCTAAAATCCAGAAGGCCCTGTCTGGCCTTTGCTACTAGAACCTTTGTTATGATCAGCAGTTATAATGACCAATGCTATGACTATTTACAAACGATGACAAAGGAGCAAACACTAAAACATTCCTAGTAGAAACAGCAACAAGAGAAGGTCTTCTGTAATCTTACCAGATTTTCTTTTTTCAGATAATTTGTTTGGCGTCTTGAAATTATTGATTCCTTCCATTGTAGCCATCACTTTTGGTTCTATGATAAAAACAAGCTAAGTTATACTGCAGCTTTAAAGAATAACACTGTCATTTGTAAGAATTCTATAGCATCATTTTATCACAGAAATATACAACCTGGGAACTAAAAATTATTGTTTAAATGAAGGAAAATCCCAACTGTTCTATTTTACCAATAAAGACTCAGGAGCCAGATGCTGAAGTGAAAACCTGCTAGCTCAGAGAAGCAGAGAAAATAACCAACTAACCTTCCTTCTCAGCTAGGTCTGGATGGAAAACCAACTCCCCTGGTGAGCAAAAGGAAACAGCTCACCAGGAACAAAAGGAAAAACAAAACAAAACAAAACAAAAAAACCAACCAAACAAACAAACAAAAAAACCCAAGGCCAAAGGCTTGCTAGCTCAAAGCCCAAAAAGGCCAGGGAATTGAGCCTAAGCTAAAGCCAGAGCTTGAGCTAAAAGCTCTTTCTTCTTCTCCACGCCATCTTAAAAGAACACTCAACTCGAAGTCCCTCCTACTCTTTAACCTCTGTCAACTGGTTTCTAGCTCGGCTCTTGACCTAGGGTTAACTTTTTTTAGATTCAGGATACTGAGATCTCTAGGTGTGTGCCAGGGCTGGATAAACCACACCATAATCACCTGTTTACAATAAACAGAAAGCTCTTGGATTAAAGCCAAACCAAGAAAAGGGTTTTACAATTCACAATTTTGGGGCTCACAATGGCATCAAATATCCTGTAACAAAAAAATGACCTCAGCAAATACTGAGTCCAATTTTATTTACAAAGGTAAAATTAAAACCCAGAGATACAAATTACTTACTCATGGTCATACTATCAGTGACTAGAGGTTATAGTTTTAACTATAAGATATATATACTTAGAGTCCAGAAACAGTTCAGACGGTAACAGCACTTGCTGCCAAGCCTGTCAACCTGAGTTCAGTTCCCAGGTCCCATATAGTAGAGAGAACCAACTCTCACAAACTGTCTTCTGACCACCACACATACTGTGGCACATGCCTGCCCACACACATACACAACACATATATAAACAAGTAGATGTAATTTTTAAAACTTAAAAAAAATATAAATTGTATTAAAAGCAAAACAAACAAACAAAAACCCTATCTAGTTCAAAAAAGTATGCAAGAGCTAGGAGTGTAGCTCAGGGGTAGAGTGTCAGCCTACTATACACATGGCCACGAGTTCGATCCCCAGTGCCCAACCCAAAAGGTAAATACTATGTCTCCCTCCTAGGAGAAGTTAAAAACATGTCTCATTATCCTTTTTTTTTTTTTTTTAAGGTTTACTTAATTTTTTTATGTATATGAGTACTCTAACTGCACATACACCTGCATGCCAGAAGAGGGCATCAGATCCCAGTATAGATGGCTGTGAGCCACCAGATGGTTGCTGGGAATTGAACTCAGGACCTCAGGAAGAGTAGACAGTGCTCTTAACCACTGAGCCATCTCTCCAACCCCCATCTCATTATTCTTTAAGGCAAACCTAGATGTACATCTGTAATACCAGTCCTTGGGAGGCTAAGACCAGACTGGGCAACAGTGAGACCCCTGCAACAAACAAAACAAAAACAGAAAACTACATACAAGCAGCATTATTCCTAACAGTCCCAGCAGACAATAAAAGTACTCATTAGATGCTGAATGCAGAACACAATGTGGTGTCTTCATACAAAGTAACAAAGTAGTGCTATGTACAATACAAGTTAGCCAGGAAAGGATGCTAAGTGAAAGAAACCAGATATAGAAAGCCACACATGAGATTCCATTGATCAGCATGTCTAGGACTGTCCAGAAATGTCCAGAAAAATGGCATGATTTCCTGATGGCTTAACTGTGGCAAGGAAAGAAAAAAGGGGGTGGGTGTGGGGAGAGCTTTCTAGATTTGAACAAAAATTTTTAAATGAGGGTATTGGAGACTGGGAGCTCATTTTTGGATGCGTTCTTAGACATCTTGGTGGAAAGGTCAAACAGGCAGTCAAACACAGATCTAGAACAAAGTTGATTCGTGGGCTTATCAACAGAGGTGGAATTAAAGCTGAGATGCTAGATGAGAAAGGGTGCAACCCTTTCAGACCCCAATTCAGGAAATGGAAGTGGGAAACAGCCTGTAGAAATGCCAGCCATGTGCAAAATGCTTGGCAAAAAGTGGCCCCGGGGAATGTCAATGTCTTGCCCCCACAGCTTGAGGACTGGACACACAGACACAGTTCGTTTTTAAAAGATTAAAATACCTAGGTTTAAAGGTTTCAACATCCCCTTATATGCTGGACACTCAAAACTACCTTCCCTTCCACTTACGCTGTTTGTACCAAAATATGCCACGTCCCAGCCATTTCAGTCATCTAATATTTTTCTTTCCTGGTTGAGTTTGAGCCTTGGTCTAGATACTGTCTTAGGTCTGTGTATACATCCTATAGGCACTGATTGTTAAATAACTATACTAAACCACATCACCTTTAGGCTTAGGGTTCAAAGGGCATATCTGATGGAACTGGCAGATCTACTGATGGGCTAACGCTTCGTGATTATGATTTTCACTATGGATTTTCATGTATGTATGTAAACATACTTTTCAAAATTACCAATATTCTCGCATATAAGATTCTACCCACAGCCTCTCCTTTCTTCTTTGGTCTCCATTGCCCAGTGCTGGGACCACAGGCACTCACTACTGTTCCTAGGCTTTTGGGTCCTAAGTCTGGCACCGAGGGCTGCATGCACGAGCCACTGCCCTAATCCCATGCCACATCCCTACCTTTCTACTGTAATCCCACCTTAAAGGCAGAAACATTAACTGAGAAGTGCTTTCCCCGCCACCTGAGAAGGGGGTGTCTTTCCTCCCTGAACCCCGAAACTTCCCGCGATCCAGGAGCTCGGGGTCAGGGTCTCGGATATGCGCGATGGTTCTGAGGGGTTCCCTATTCTGCTCCATCGGCTGTCTTCCCGGATCCTCCCTCAGTCCTCCCCTGGCAGCTGAGTACACTCCAACCGCTGCCCTCTGTAGATCTCCGATTTTGTCCTCCGCCGGGCCCTAGGTCCTCCCCTAGCGGCTGTCTGTCCCGTCCGTGACCCTCTCTCCATCAGGTCCTCAATGCCCCAACCCCTGACCCCCGTCCGCGGTCCTCCCTCGAGTCCGCCACGCTTTCCCTTACCACGGGCGCACCCTGGCTCAAAGCTGTCTGGACACCTAGTCCGGAAGGTGCAGGGACGGCGGGAGCCAACACTCGCTGTAACCGCCGCAGCGTTTAGGGGGCGCCGGGCGGCACGGGGGTCTGAATCCCGCGCTGGCTCAGAGCTGTCGGGACACCCACTCGGTAAAGCCAAGAGCAGCTCCCGCCTACGAGGCAGTAACTGCCACAGCGTTTAGGGCGCGCGCGTTTTCAAAGGCTCCGCCACGGACTACAGGGCGGCAAGAGGGTCAAAACTTCCGTGTTCGCGCAGTCTGCCGGGGCTTGCTAGGATTTCCAGGTTTGACTGCGACCTAAGGGAAACTTTCCAGAGGAACGGCTGGAAAGCTATAGCAAGTGTCAGGCAGATGCTGGCGGAAAAACAAGGTATGTGCCTGTTTTGAAGGCAAATCTACCCTAATTACAGACACTGCTCAGAATATGCAACAGGTAGGATGTTTTATTGCAGGTTTATGCGATCTTAAAACACTAACTAGAAATGTGTAGTCACAGTTTCATCATTTGGGGCTGAGCCATCTCACTGGCCCAGTTTTGCTAATTCTTGTCATTACCACATTCTACTTATACATTCAGAGGACCTACTGTGTGTCGTGTGTCCGTACTTTGATGCCCATTGCATAGCATTATCTACCATGTTCACGACAAGAGACATGAACTACGTTTAGGAGAACAGAAAAAGACATTCTATGTGGCTCAAAGACAGTGTGATACCTTCAAAAAGAAAACATACAGCACAAGGCAAGAAAGACTGAATTGCCTCAGCGATGGGTGCAGTCTGTGCTGCGCTGTGAGCTCTCCGATCGTTGGGAGGAATTCAGCCGCAGCCTGATAGATGGGACAGCAGTTTCTTTACTAAGGTAGTTGTTATTATTTAGAAATAATATGCACAACAGATATTACATGTATTGGATGGAGATGGAGAGAGAGGGAAGGAGAGCGACAGGGTGAGGGGAGGGGAGGGAGGCGCCTGGACAGAGAAAGGAGAGAGGGAGAGAGCAAGAAAGAGAGAGAGAGAGAGGTAAGAGGCAGGGGGTCCGTTTATAGCTCCTAAGCAGCTGCAGCAGCTGAGCCTCACCTGCCAGGTGCATCCTACCTGGCCAGCGACACATGATGACATCATAGGTTACTAGGCAACCAAGAAGCAGGCTAGCTAAATGCTAACATTAGTATCAAAAAGTAACACAACCCATATATGCAGTCACATGCTTATATATATATTAATATATAATTAATATAATAGAATTAATGATAATTAATATGATTAACATAATATATATTAATACACACTTGTGTAGTGACACCAGCGTCATTGGCATTGTTATCTATTTTACTTCCAAGATTCCGTTTTTCACTTACATATCTTTTTATTTTTTTTAATTTTTTATTAATTACACTTTATTCATTTTGTATCCCCCCCCATAAGCTCCTCCCTCCTCCCCTCCCGATTCCACCCTCCCTCCCCTTTCTGCATACATGCCATTCCCCAAGTCCACTGATAGGGGAGGTTCTCCTCTCCGTTCTGATCTTAGTCTATCAGTTCTCATCAAAAGTGGCTGCATTGTCCTCTACCGTGGCCTGGTAAGGCTGCTCCCCCCCTCAGGGGGAGGTGATCAAAAAGCAGGCCAATCAGATTATTCTTTTTCTTTTTTTAAGATAGATTCTTAGTATGTAGCCCTGGCTGACCTGGAACTCGATATGCAGGTCAGGCTGGCCTTAGACTCACAGAGATGCACCTGTCTCTGCCTCCTGGGTGCTGGGATTCAAGGCATGAAACACCATTACCCAGGTAATATTTTAAATGATATTTTATACATTTAGGTGCTTTGCCTATGTGTATGTCTATGCGTCATAAACATGCAGTGTCCACAGAAGCCAGAGAAGGAGTCCGGGTCCCATGGCACTGGAGGTACAGACTGTCATTAGCCACCTTGTGGATATTGGGAATCAAACTCAGGTCCTCTGGAAGAGCAGCCAGTGCTCTTAGCTGCCGAGCCATCTCTCCAGCGCCATGATTTCTTTATTAAGTGGGTTTAGAACTATCTGACATCATCTAAGTAAAGTAAAGGTATTGTTTATTCTTTGCCCTGTCATATGTTAAGCAACTGTTGAAAATTGGTGCTGGAAAGACTTCATGGAGACTGATCAGGAGCTCTATCCTACACAGCCCTGCTCCCCAACAATTTTGGCTGTTCAGATAAAATGGAGATCAGTCACAGACCTGCCCTGTCTTCATTTGTAACCTTTCTTAGCCTGTTCCATTGGCCTGGGGGGGGGGAGTTCTCTCCTCCTACCTAGGGGACCCAGTCAACCCATAAGCTCGAGAGCCCTCTCCTTCTCTCACACATCACTGCCAAATCACCCGCCTCTCTGGCATTTTTCCCTTCCCCTCCTTTAAAGGTCCTAAGAAAACAAAATGGTAACAGTAATAGCAAGCACTTATTTAGTACTATGGTGGGTCTCACAGGGGTTCTCTTGCTTTTCCTGTATTAATGTATTTCATCCCCACAGTCTATCATATGGATCGCTATGATCAAACCTCATGTTTCTCTTTATAATATACATATATGTGTAATTTTAAGTGTAGACTCCCCATATGAAGAAAACATGCATTATTTGCCTTGCTAAGTCTGGTCTATATCTTTAACATATGATTTCCAGATTGATCTATTTACCTGAAAATATCACGATGAACTTTTTTTTTTTTTTCAAATGAGGAAAACAAGAAAGAAAAGAGTTAAGTAATGTGTCTGAGGTCAGAGCTAGTAATTTATGTGGACAAGATTCAAATATTTGTTGAACTTAGTGTTCCTTTTAAACAAATGTTTTCAAAATCTCTTCACACACACACACACACACACACACACACACACACCCTTACCTCTACTCCCAGGACCTTTCCACTTTGTATCACTCTCTTCCAAGTATAGTATCTTCTCTCACCTCCCCACCCATTACTTATTTAGATAATTTTTTGTTGCTGTTTTTTTTTTTTTTGTTTTTTTTTTTTTTTTTTTTCGAGACAGGGTTTCTCTGTGTAGCCCCAGGAGTCCTGAACTCAGTCTGTAGACCAGGCTGACCTTGAACTCAGAGATCTGCCTGCATCTGCCTCCCCAGTGTTGGGATTAAAGGCCTGTGCCAGCATGCCCAGCAGAATAGATTCTTACTATATAGTCCTGGCTGGTCTGGAGCACACGGTGTAGACTAGGCTAGCCCCAAATTCAAAGAACTCCATCTGTTTCTGCTTCCCACGTGCTGAGATTAAAAGTATGCACCATCATACATATATATGTACCACACACGTGTGCCCTTCAAGGCCTGAAGAGGGTGTCAGATTCCCTGGAGCTAGCGTTATAAGCAGTTATGAGCGTCCCAGGCTGTGTGCTAGGTCTCAGGTCCTCTGCAAGAGCAGCAAGCACTGTTAACTCTCCGGCCATATCATAATTGTGTGTGTGTGTGGAAACATGGTATTATATGACTTGTCATCATTACATATCTATAATGTTCTATGTTTTTATTAAGTCTTAAGTTTTTATGAGCCCTCCGTGTTTTGTTTTTAGTGGATAATAAAATCCTGCCTAAAACCAGACCCCAAAAGCATCTCAACCAACCACTGCTTGTGAAAAGAAGCTCTAGGGAGAAGAAATTACTGACACAGCTTTCAGTTGAAGCTGAAGTATCTGTGAAAATAAAGGTCCTTGCCTAACATTTACAACTATCCTGCTCTGTTCCCAGTCTTGGACCTGTGAAAGTATCCCCAATACTACACACAGAAACACGTGATCATCACAAGTTTGTTGCTATGGCCTGTGAAATGCATCCATTTATCTCAAAACCTTGCCTGCTAGTCTTTTGTCATAGAGAGCAGCTCCAACCAGGACTAGATTTTGTCTTCTCTTTGAGGTCGTGCCTTTGCTGCTTATTGGCTAGAAGGATGATGAGAATGTTTAGGAAAGAAGAAAAATATATTTTATCTTTTTGCTTCTGTATTTCCAACCAGTCGGTTCATCGTGGTCTTGAACATTACACATGTTCTGGTGTCCTGAGAGCTTTAGGTCACACAGAGAAGGCACCGGGACTTCCTGCTTATGCTCCTCTGTGCTGACCTTTGACTTTCTATATCCAAGGCCTGCACTAGAGATTCCCTTTTGTTCTGGCTAGTTTTATGTCAACTTGACACAAGCTAAAGTCATCTGAATAGAAAGAACCTCCACTGAGAAAAATGCCTATTTTCCAGCTCATTGTGGGTGGTGCCATCCCTGGGCTGGTGGTCCTAGTTCTATAAGAAAGCAGGCTGAGCAAATTAGGATGAGCAAGCCAGTAAGCAATCCTCCCCTGCAGCCTCTGCATCAGCTCCTGCCTCCAGGTTCCTGCCTTGTTGGAGTTCCTGCCCTCACTGCTTTTGAAGGTGAGCTGCTATATGGAACTGTGAACAAAATAAGTCCTTTCCTACCCTAGTTGTTTTGGGTCATGCTGTATCATCGCAGCAACAGACACCCTAACAAAGACACCTTTATCACCCCATCTATGTTATGAAATCTCTTTCTCCTGCATCTCTGATGTCTGCTCTTTTCCCTGCCTGGACTAGCTGCCCTCCAAGCATTCCCGCTCAGAACACTGCTAACCTTCTAGCTTACCATACTTCTACAGGCCTCTCCTCCCTTCTTGTAGCTTTCCATTTCGAAATCTGGTTGATCTTTTTGTCTGTAAATTTCATCCTGTCATTCCCTTGCTCAAAATCCTCCAGGGACCTGGTAAACTTCAAGGTAAAATTCACCCTCTTTGTCATATGACCCTAGAGTTTGCCTCGCTGGGTCTCTGGGCTCCCGTTAAGACTAAGTCTGAAGCTGTGCCTGGAGGGTTCATGGTTTTTTTTCCTCATATCTCCAGCACACACACACTCTCTTCTCAGCCAGGAATGTCCTTTCTGTCAGGTTTAGCATCATCTCACATTGCATTTTTCAGTCCAGGTACCAGAAACCCTCTGTTTTCCTCACATGGTCCACAGTCATGGCTGTTTTTCCTCTAGGCTCCCAGAGTGCCTTCTAGTTCTCCTAGTCCAGGACATTCCAACACAGTGCAATTCTCTTTACTTCTGTCTACCTCCTACAGCATCAGCCCCAGATCATTCTCCTGGGTGTGTGCTCAGAAATGA